ATACAGTGATGCCTAGGTTTATGAATTTAATTTGTTTTGTGATTTTGGCTGCATTTGTGTTTGTGTGGGGAAGATGGCCATAGTCCTGTTTGTCAACCGGTGCAGAATTTATGAACAGAAATAAAATTTCACCAGATGTTTTTGTTTGTGAACCAAATCGTTTGCAAACAGAAATACTTGTGGACTGAGGTATCAGGGACCTCACCTAGATACTCAATGTCCCAAATGAGTATATGGCAAAGGCTCACATAAATGAAATACGTGGTATGATTTTAGGGCTCCAGGAGGATCAAAACCCTCTCCAGAGTTTGGGGCTCTGGTGGCTAAGACAAGGAATGCTTCTCAGTGGCCCGTATATATTTTAGTTTTCAAACAAGGAAGTGGTTAGAGTGAAAAATGCAGAAAATTGAACAGACTTTGGGAGGGGTTCAGTGACCTTTCCAAGTAACAAATTATGTTAATTTAGGGGGAGATCTGCAGGTTGCATTTCACTACAGGAGTGAATGCCTGCAGCTACAGTTTTTATTTAGTTAATTGGAGTTGGAGGCCAGGTGTCCTTAACTGTGACCTTATCTTGCAGCCCGGCATGTATGTTCAACTTCTAGTTTCAACAGCTCCCCACATTGAGGTATTACTGTACTTCTTTAAGTTATTTCAGGTATTTTGTTATGATGATGAAAAATTTAGCCAGGTGGCACATGCCTATAATCCCAGCACTGGGGAAGCTGAGGCAGGAGAATTCTCATGAGTTCAAGGCCAGCCTGGACTAAATAACAGGCTCAAAAATGGAGAAACAGAAGACAAATATCTTTTATTTCCCACCTATTTCTGGCAAATGAAGTGGATGTTTGTTTGGTTGTTTTCAGATTTGCCTCCTGAGATCAACAGAAGCCTAAAATACTCTGAGATTACCAGTAGATGTCAAAACCAGACTTCCTCTGATCAGTTAATCACTTCTGTTCTTTGTTACAGTATTTCCTGTACAGCTGAAGAGTTTCGTTTAAACATTTAGAAAATGGAAGGCAATGTTAGTCTAGATTATCTGCCCCTTTTGAAAGTTTATTTTCTTTATTCCTTTTTACACATTTTTGTAAATGCCTGGGTAATATTTTTGTTACTACAACAGCTTAACTGCATTGAGGCTATCATGTTCCTTAACATTTTAAGAGCAGCACAGATAAATAGATGCACACTGAACACCAAAAGAGGTCCCTGTGTTTCACTATTGAGATTGAAGATTTGAGAGACTACCTTCTCCGTTTCATCCACCGGCCAGTGGTAAGTTTTACCAGTAGCAGTGGCAGGAAGGTCAGTGTGCTTTTATTTATCACTTCTTTGTTCAGTCCAAGACACCAAGCTAGATGTTAGTGTCACCTTACCTCAGAGGACGAAACTGAAAGTCCAAGGTAAACTCCCAACAACTCAGCCCCATGTGTAGTTAGTAAATTTCAAAGTAGAGCATTGAATCTCCATCTTCAGCCTCTTCCTGGTGACCACTAATCTTGGCAAAATCAGGATTAGTCGCTGAGCCTCATAGTTGTAGACCTTTGAACTCTGGCCCCTGAGAGTGGTCCTTGGATGGTGAGCGAGGATGATGTCTAAGGCCGCCAGTTACCAGTTTTGCACAATGTGGCAGCTTATTCCTTGGCTCTTGCTGTCTTGGCTGGAGTGTTTCAGGTGCTAGGATCAAGTTAAAGCCAAAGGCTCAACTTTTAGCAGATGCTGCAAAAAAGAAAGCCTGCACATGATCCTTAATTGAGCTGATTCACCATGATCAGGAACAAAATCTGAGTGTGAGGAGCTGGGAGGTGCCAAGGTTCCAGTTCTCAGACTGTACCAGAATGGTCAGCAGATGCCAAGGGAGAGTGCCTACTCTTACCCCCTGTCCCCATGCTCCCTACGAGCTCCTTGGACTCCCTGTCAGTATTCCACTGACTTAGCTATCCACCTTTTGCACCCTGCAGAGTTCAGTTATACATTGACTCACCACAGCAAGCAGAGGCACCCTACTGATTTCCAAATTCTGACTGCTTATCCACATTTCACATCTCTCATCAGTGTCTTCCTGTCCCTTCCAGTGCACGACGCAGCCAACTTTAACTGATGGGAAAATGGAACCTTCTTCATAGCTTCAGAAGAGCCCGCCAAGGATAAAATCTTAATAACAGATGCAACTCTCCCATATTCCCATATTAAGTCCTAGGAAATCCAGGTCACAGTAGGAGGTCATGAGGTAACTTGTGAAGCCTTTTCTGCCCATCAATCACCTACGTAGAAAGGAGTGGAGATGAAGAAGGGACAGAGGGAAAAGTCCCTCAGAGAGAGGGAGCAGTTTGTTCTGTATCCCCTTCAAGTATCGGAGTTCAGCTTTGCCTGCCCAGGAGGTGGGACATAGGGTTTGTATGAAGTTGGCTGTAGATCACTCTTAGACAACAGAGCAGGAGATGGGAAGGCAGTGTTTTCATTCTTACTACAGGCACTTGAGGTGGGTGAAGGCACGTGTTTCCCATGGAGCAGATGGGAGACAGTGGGAGCTGGGTCTAAACAAGACTGCACCCAAAGATAGTGGGGAGTAGTGTGGTGAAGGGACCCAGAAAGGGAGCATAGGAAAGACTGTCAGATGCCTGGGTATGAGGGAAACTGGAAATGAGGGTACTGGGTATACTACAGTTGCCCCAGAAGGGAAAATTCAGAGAGAGGATCCACTTTTATTAGGGCTTAAAGCAGACTCAGAGTCAGTCAGCAAGGTTGGGCATCTTTCCCAAACCCAGGGATTTTCAAACTCTGCACTATAGAATCAGATTGGTACATGATTGGCCTAGGAAAAAATAATAAATTAGGATATGATAGAAAAATATAGCATGGATAAATATTGTTTCCTGAAACTGCTGCTTCAGTGTTTTCCAGTTGTAAATATTGTTTGCATTGTGGATACAGTTAAAAAGTTTGCAAGTCTCTGTTTTAATTTGTTTTCCCTGTGCTTGGCTGGGAAGGGCCAAGCAGCTGCAGTGTGGGGGATTAAGAAGAAGAGCTCCAGGGCCAGAGCCATTCTAGGCAAATCCGGGCAAGTTCTCTCACTCGTAGGTGACTTAGTGTCTTATTCATAAAGCTGGATGGCCTCGGTGCCTGCCTCATAGGATTGTAGGGTGATTAAAAGGATTAGATGAGTTGATCCATGTTAACGTGTAGCTATTCATTTCTGAAAACTGGTGTATACTCAACGAATGCTCATTGCTGTTTTGATAATGGTGATAATTTCTTCCCACGGTCAACGGTAACCCTGAGACTTTCGAGATGATGCCAATTCTTCCAAGATTATTTGCAGAGAGATCAGTTTTGTTTAGCTTAAGACAATCATTTCTGTGAGCAAATACTCCACAAATATTTATGGAGCAGCTGTTATGTATGGGACTCTGCTATGTGCAAAGGTTATAAAGTGGAATTAGACAGTGTCCTTGAGCTTGAGAAACATGTACAGTCTCCCCAAGAAATTCTACTGTACTTTGCCTTCATCACACTCACGTGGTGCAAGACCTATATTAGGCCTCTAGGAAATGTGTGTTGAGTGCATTTCTGTGAAAGGAACCATGAACTCTCTTAATCTTAGCCAGACAGAGTAAATAAAGGGAACATCATCTTTTCTACCACATTCGAGGTGTGGAGAAAAGAACAGCAGCATAGAAGAATTTTGTAAATGCCAGAAACTTGCAAAAGTATATTTGAAGAAAGTTAAGTTTGTTTTTGTAGACATTCTTTGTATTCATTACATATTGTTTATTGAAAAAAGATTCCAAGCAAGGAATGACAAAAAAGACAGATGACTCTAATAACCAAAGAACCTTATAGATTTGTTCTCTCTTTGCTGCTGAGACTAGCTGTCAAGTCAGCAAGAAGTTAAAGAAAAATAAAAAGAGCAGAGGGTGTGTGTGTTCTCCTGAATTATTCATGTGTCTGCTTGCTCCACCCCAACATCTTGGGCTTTGGGCTGTAGTTATGGTTTGTGTTTAGATGTTCCCCAAAGCCTCATGCAGTCATAGGGCCAGGCTTCTAGTTTGTGATGGACTCATGGTCCAGTGCTGGGATTATGGGCGTGAATGCTACACCCACTCTAGAATGGACAAACTACATACAATATAAGAGACTGAAAGAATCTTCTCTGCAAGCTCCTTTGCTCTTGTTGCTTTTGCTGTTTTCGGTCACCAGGAACTGTTGCCCTTTGCCATGTGCCACCTTGCCTCGGATCCAGCAGATTATGGACTAAAACCTCCACAAACTGAGCTAAATAAAACTTTCCATTCCCAATTTTTGGCATCAGCTATTTTGTCTCAGCAATGAGAGAAAAGTAACTATAAAACAACTAAGACAGCCCTGATATCACAGTCCAGAGAGAGAAGCTGGGTGAGCATGAGAGCCCTCCTCTCTACTCCCTGCCCTTCCAAACATGGTGAAGACTTCCCAGCCAATTACCATGTGCATTTAATCAATTGACATTTTGGCTGGTTTCTTGTTTCTTGTACAAATGAAGTAAAAACCAGAGTAGAAGCTGGGCGTGGTGGTGCACTCCCGTAATCCCAGCACTCAGGAGGCTGAGGCAGGAGGATCATTGCAAGTTTGAGACCAGCCTGGTCTACAAAGTGAGCCCAAGGCTAGCTGGAACTGCATAGTGAGACCCTGTCTCAAAAAGGCAAAAAAAAAAAAAAAAGAATAGAGAAAAGTTAACTTGGGAAATGAAAAGCTGCCTTCACTTTGGAGGAAAGACACATTGTGAAACTTGTGAGGTGAGATCCAAAGTCATAATATGGGCATGTATCCCTTTCAAAAAGACTCCCTTTAAAAATGGCAAGAGTTGAGCTTTGCATTTCAATTGCTGTGCACATTTCCAAGTTTGTAACACACCGAACAGCCATGTGCATTATCTCAAGTGACTGGATCAGTGTCACGTGGAGCTAAGGTAGAAATGAAGATATCTTGGGCTTGGAGATCAGCTTTCTTTTAATTAAGCTTTTTGTGTTTGAAAAGAAATTCTTGCTTTTCTAAATCAAGCACGTGTTTTATAGATCTCAAGGAGCTCTTCTGAAAACTCCCACTGTGTGTTTCTTAGCTGGTTTGGGAGTGAGGAGATAGTGCAGCACCCGAAGACATCTCACAAGCCTCTCATTGCTCTAAATATATGGACACAGCTGCAGCTCGATGTGCACCAGGTGGGCAGCTCGCAATGCCTCGCTTAGCTCTGTGTGCTGCTGCTGCCATCCAGAAATTCTTAATACTTTTTACACCAGCCCCTATAAATTACATAGTTGATGACCTGGTTAATTTCCTGAGCAATCAAATCCAGATGCTTGCCTGAAAATGTTTGATTGGTTCCTGTTTCCATAGCATGAGTGGCATGCCCACCCCATGATGGGAAAGAGGTAGATAAGTAACATTGGTGAAGCAATGTACCACTCACAACAGACTTCCACATCCTTTGTTTCCTTTAATACTCAAAAGCATATGTTAGGAGGCATTTATTTAAGACCATCAGAAATGTACCCATGGGGAAGGAAACTGACTCAACAGGCAAACTACTCTTTAAAAAGAAACCTGTAAATGAAGATCAATGTCCTGTTTTTTGCAAAACAGACAAATCATCTAGATGTTATACAGCTGTGCTGCAAAGGAATTTACAAAAGCAAAAAAGGACTCTGTACAGAGTTTGGCTAAGGGGATCATGGAGAACAAAAATTCCAGTCCCAGGCCAAGCAAAAGCAAGATGTTGTTCTTGGCACATCCTGTAGCATCAATCCTAGTGATCCCTCAAGATCCCTCACAGCTGAGAAATGTGTATCACAAAGTCTGACTGAAAAGACCCCTGTCAGGGACCCCTTGGCTGTGTCACTTCCTGATTAGCTATCTGACTTTGTGTCTGTGTCCCTTTTTGCATGAATGTATCAATACTGGAAATACTGCTTAAGCCATCTTTACAAGTTTGCTGACTTGAGATCTGGACTCTAGAACTTAGGCCAAATGCAACCTTTTGAGAACTCTGCAACAGCCGACACCCAGACTCTGGCTTTTCATTGGCTGCCACCCAGTTGTCTGACCTTCTGTTCTCTAGCTTCTGCCTGCCCTGTTCACACAGCTCTGGTTTCCACCTCAGGTCTAAAGTCCAGGCAACTGCTGCTTCCTTCAGGGTGGAGACTGGCTGGCTTCAAGTGGAGGAACATTATAACCTGCGGCATTGTCCTTGGTGAAATTAAGGACACTGGCAGGCCTCAGAAGTGACTACACAATCTGCTGCCCTCCAGAGTCTCAACTCTCCTTCCTCCCTGAAGCAAGTCACAGGACAGATCACAGAACCCATTTTCTCCAAAGCCAACCATGAAATCTAGAATTAAAATAACCTCACCCCATCTGCCTTTCTGTCTGGGAGAGATGGTTATTGTTATAACTTGGGCCCCAGTATAAAATCCAAGGAGGCAAGAGACCAAAAATTTAGGTGGCAAAGGCTTTATTTCCAGGCCAGGCGACCAGTCTCCGGGAGCCAATTTGGAGACTGTGTCCCAGAGACTGAAGGGAGGACTTTAAAAAGAGACTGGAGGAAAAGGGGAGTGGGGGAGAAACAAAGAAACCTGCAGAGCCATCAAACTTGTTGACCCGAGTCTGGAAACCGTATTGCTGTCCACTTAGCTCTGACAATCTCGGGAGTTCCTGGTGTTTCTCAAATTACTCCCATCCTACAGACTGACATTATCTCGGAGTGGCACATCTGCAGCAATATTTGGAGAAGAAAGTGGACAGTTAATTATCCCAGGACAGCTCGTTTTCGCTAGTGGGTGTGAAGGGGTCAAGAGTTACAAGAAGCTGAAACTTAAGTTTTACAAAGATCTGATATCTAACTCATTTGATGCATACAGAACAAAAGGAAAGCACTGATTGGGGTTTGGGCCATAGTATTTCCCGGTAATTTCTTTGAAGTTAAACAGTTCTTAAAATTGGGGCAGACTCATTTTATGACAGATCATCACTGGTCGGGAAGAGGTCACCAGAAACCCAAATTCTTTATGGCCTAGATAGATAGGTGAGGGAAGAGGGAGGCAATAAGGCGCCATACAGAACAGAAAACGGCGGTTATGTGTCATATCAATTAGGTCACTTAACATGTCAGTTAGGGAAAAAGGATAAAAAAACATTTAGTAAGCCACGTTGCAGGTTTGCTATAATACACATATAACGAAGATATTTTCTTAGAGTACAACAGTTATAAACAAATTTTCTGACCCATGCACAAACACAGTTTCCATCCATACTTTCTGGCTGATAATTATATCCTGAGGCAGGCAATAAAAACTAGCTTTCCTCTAGGTGGTTCATAGAAACTCTGATTTTCCCCCACCTGTCCTCTTCGAGCTACTCAAGAAGTTCTCTGGCCTCTCCACATTCCAGAGGGATCCTGCTCGCACATGGATAGAGGAACGTTGCATCCAGGATGCTGACACAGACAAGCCTTGTTGGCTTTCCTCACCATCTGTTCCCACTGGTTCAGACCCTTTTTGCCAGTCACATTTTAACATGGTTGTCCATGCTCCAAGCACAGCTACTTGATGATGAAGTCTCCAGAAAAACCCATACAGGCAGGATTCAGGAAGCTGCAGAGTAGATGAACGTGTGGCAATTCCTGGAAAGTGGCTCATACAGAGGCCATGGTAGCTTCCCAGCCCTGCTTCTTACTCTGCATCTCCTCATCTGTACCCTTTGAGGTAAACCAGTAAACTACAGTGTTTCCTGGAGTCTGTGAACTATTCTAGCAACTGTTGTAGAGGGGTGCTGTGGGAACCCCATTTTGCAGCTGTTGGTCAGAAGTTTGGAATCCTGGACTTGAGTTTAAAGTGAGGGATAGTTGAGGACCAATCCCTTGAGCTTTGGGAGCTGATACTGTCTCTGGGTGAATAATGTGACAACTGAATTAAATTAGAGGAAACTCACTGCTGTTAGGGGAAGATACCTACACCTTTTGAAGTCACACGATTCTATGTGAAATGTGGGAGGAGAGGAAAAGCAGACATTTTGTTTTTCCCATACAAGCAGTAGATATTAAGAGCCTCATTCCAGAGGAGTCCTGTCCTAATCCCAGGAAGAAGAAATACTATGTTATGGTTTGCTCTGAATGTCCCCCCAAAGTCACATGTAGTCAGAGAGATGGGCTTCTAGAGTTCATGAATAACTCATGGTCCAATGTTGGGATTATGGGCCTGCACACAATATAAGGGACAGGAAGGGTCTTCCCTCAAGCTCCTCCCCTTTCATTCTTGTTGCTTGTGTTGTTTTCCACTGCCGTGAACTGTTGCCCTCTGCCTTGGAGCCAGCTTCTTATAGACTGAAACCTCCACAAACTGTGAGCTAAATAAACCTTTTCTTCCTTCACTTTTGGTGCTGGGTATTTTGTCTCAGCAATGAGAGAAAAAGAAAAAGACATCTGCCTCTGAGGGACCAGGAAGATTCTGGACAAGTTTCGCTGAGTTTGTCCATTTAGTCTATTACCATTGGGAAAAACTTTCTTTTTTTCCTTTAGGTGATTCTAGGGATTGAATTCAAAGTCTGTTCTGTGAGCCACACACCCAGTCTTAAAAAATTTTATTTATTTATTTTGTACGAGAGATTGAACTCACGACCTCACACTTACCAGGCAGTTACTTAAACCACTGAGCTAAATCCCCGGCCTCTACCCCTAATCTTTAAAAAAAAAAGTTTTTTTTTTTAAATTTTGAGACAGGATTTCATGAAGTCACTAAGTTACCCAAGCTGCTTTCAAATTTGTCATCCTCATAATTCAGTGTCCTAGAGTGCTTAGAGTTAGTGAAGAGTTGGGGAGAAAAATAGATTTCATTAGAGTCAAGCACTTGCCTACATTCCAGACCTTGCATTACAGACTTTCCATCAAAACTCTTGATCATGCTAGTGAAGAATGAATTTTATTTCCTTCTGGTTTGGAAGCAAATTACTATTCGGGTTTCTCAACAGTCTCCTGCTGCTCTATCTGCTGAGAAATTAAGTAAGAAAATCCAGCTAGTGGTCTAGGTTACTTAAAACCACTGGCTAGAGTGTATTTACTTTTCACTAGACAAAAGAACAGTCTTATTTAGGGAACTGAGTGGGAGTGTCTTTGGTTTCAGATTAAATCTACAGAGAAGAGAAGATTGCATTTCTTTTTCCTCGAGTAATTTTACTTCACAAAACCCTGTCAAAATTATATTTTGGTAGGAGGCACTTCACCTGTGTTAGTAGCTAATGCTGCTGCTAAAATGATACGGGAGGGCTGGAGATTTAGCTCAGTGGCATAAGCACCTGCCTTGTAAGCAGGCAGTCGTGAGTTCGATCCCTGGTACCAGTAAAAATGAAAAAGACAAAAAAATAAATAAAATAAAATGATACGGGAACAGGGAAGGAAAGTTAGCATCACTGAACAGCACTTCAGATGCAATTCACACATGCTCATATCTGCCTAGGGACATTCTGGGAAGTCTTTGGAGGTCTAGAGTGCAGGTTTTCCACACGTAGCAAAGAATCAGGAAAATTTAGTGATGCCTAAGATTCTGTACTAGACACTGTTAGAGCTGCGATTTCATCCTAGGAATCTTTAACCCCACACTCATATTTCAATTATGTCAGACCATCTTTATAAACGAGCATACTGGGGATACAGCTCACTGGTAGAGTACATGTATAACCCAATAAGTAAGTAAATAGGACTTGTGTTTCTCTTTTTTTTTTTTTTAACTTTTTAACAGTACCAGAGATCACGCTCACGACCGCCTGCTCGCAAGGTAGGTGCTTATGCCGCTGAGCTAAATCCCCAGCCCCTAGGACTTATGTTTCTAATCATGATATAATTCACCAAGATTTTTAAAAGAGAAACACTTTACACTTGTCAGTTCATGATGAACAGAATGAGATGTGATTATTGAAAATTAAACATAGTTCATCAAGGCAGGACTGGGCTAGTGTCTGGAAGCACTGGTGGAGCTCCCCCCCACCTTAGTCCCACTGATGCTTCAGAAAATAAGAGCACAGGAAGCAGGAAATGATATGAGAAAAGTAGGTGGAGTCCACCAAAGATACTCCTCAATACTTTTGCTTTGTGTTTACTAAATCCAGGGATCCATGCTAGCTCCTGTGTCAAGTTTACTTGAAGTTGACCTGTGATTTCTAGTTCATGTGAAGTGTCTACTGCTTACTGATATAGGATGTATAATACAGGAATGATCCAAATAATCCAAATAGCCTAAGTAAAGTTTAACTCCCAACTTGCTAGATGTCTGATATGGTATGTTTGTGTTTCTTAAAACTGAAGAATGAATTATGGGAACAATGGAAGTTAAGAGTAAGAAGTAGTCACTGAGAAAAAGAAAGTGTCTATTGAAGAGGAACAGAAGGGAGTCTGGGTAGGGGCCCCCTGGAGAACCTTGTCCCCTAGAGATTTGTAGAGTAAAACCATGAGGCATGGTGGGCTTAAGGTGGGACAAAATTATAGTTAACTAATAAGATTGCAAATATAGTTGCTTTGGTAGTATAGAGCCAATGGGAAGTCACAAGATGAGTATAATGTGGGGCAAAACTATGGTCAGCCAATAAGAGTGTGAGTATAGTTGCTTAGGTAATGTTTAAGTGAGAAGCAAATGGGGAAGTAAATCATGTAGCAAGCTCACAGTAGAAGGACAAGGACTTTCCTGGAAGGGGTGGATTAGGGAAGGTTTTGTCCTCCACCCAAGGTAATTAATGCTATTCAGAATACCAGTCACTGTTGGTCATCCCTAGGGGAAGTAGGGGGGTGCAGTCTTTCTTCTTTGTCCTGAGGTCTGACCTTCAGCAAATGCAGCTCCACCCAGCATCTTCCACACTGACCTATCGAGGGTCCAGGCTTGTCTGATTCCCTATAATGTTTCTAAATAACTCAGCTACTTATAATATTACAACAGGACAAGATAAACTAGTGTCTTAGTTACTTTATGCTCGTCACTGAGACAAAATACCTGAAGCCCAAACTGGGGAAAGGAAAGGTTTATTTCTTACAGTTTTGGAGGTTTCAGTCCACACTCAGTTTGTTCCCAGGCAGGCGGGCATGGCTGGGCCGAAGTTCATGGTGGCTGCGAACAGCAAAGAGGAACCAGCAAAAAGAGCAAAACACACCTTCTTCCTGCCATTACATCACATCCTGGCTCCACCCCTTTGTGAATGGAGCACTGACACCATCAATCCAAGCACTAGACAATGAATGAATAACAAATGCACAATTTAAACTTATGAGGCTTGGGGGACACAGACATAAACCATGACATTCCACCCCTGGCCCCCAGGACTCATGTACATCTTTTATACAAAAGACATTTAGTCCACCTCCAAGAGTTGCCAAAGTCCTAAGTTTCAGCATTGCTAAACAGTCCAAGTCCCAAGTCTCCACCAAGATCTATGGTAAATTCTTAACTGTAAGTCCCTGTACAAACGAAACAAAGTTAAACATTTCTGAAACACAAAGGCACAAGATAAACATTACCATTCCAAAAGTTACAAACGGGGGAATATAAAGCATTGGAAACAAAGCAAGTCCAACATCCAGCAGGACAAACATTAAGTCCTAGAGTTTCACGCTCAGCATCTGAAGCAATCTGGTTGTAAGCTCTAAAAGACTTGGGTGATTCTACCCCCAGGGCACTTCCAGCCATTTCAACTCCCTAAGCTTTTTTAAAAAATCTTCTCTGCTCGTTTTTTGCAGCTTTCCTTGGAATTTTCCTTCTGGCCAAACTCACAGCATTGTACATTATCCTGCCGGGCTCTTTGCTCTTGATTTGAAACATAAAGCTCACTAAAAGCCAACAATAGCCATGCCACAGCCTCAACATTCGATAGCTTTTTAATTTCTTTTTCAAGATTAATCAGTCCATTGCCCTTTGTCTCAGTCTCAGGCAAAGTCTCTGGGCAGGAGCAAAATGCAGGCAAACTTTCTGCCAAGCCATAACACACATCATGTGGAGTCCAACGACCAATGCAGTCTTTCCCAGCAGAAACCTCCCAAGCCTGGTCTTTACCATCCGGCTTTCTATCAGCCTTCTGGTCGCCTGAGCTCTGACCAGAATTTCCTCTACAGAACAGCCTAAGGTGCTCCAGCTCTATGCATACAGGCAACATGTCCGAACCTTTCCAAACTCTGCCCACAAGCCATTTCCAAAGCCTCTTGAAAAACATGGCCAGATATAGTCACAGCAAATGACCCCACTCCTAGGTACCAAATTCTGTCTTAGTTACTTTATGCTTGTTGCTGAGACAAAATACCTGAAGCCCAAACTGGGGAAAGGAAAGGTTTATTTCTTACAGTTTTTGGAGGTTTCAGTCCATACTCAGTTTGCTTCCAGGCAGGTGGGCATGGCTGGGCCGAAGTTCATGGTGGCTGCAAACAGCAAAGGGGAACCAGCAAAAAGAGCAAAACACACCTTCTTCCTGCCATTACATCACATCCTGGCTCCACCCCTTTGTGAATGGAGCACTGACATCATCAATCCAAGCACTAGACAATGAACGAATAACAAATGCACAATTTAAACTTATGAGGCTTGGGGGACACAGACATAAACCATGACAACTAGAGATTTGTCTTCCACCACTACTGAGCTCTGAAGATCTTTTTCTTATTCTAAAGCACATCCCTCAACTTTTCCTCCCCCAAAACTGTGTACTTGAATCCATTTGCTTTCCCTGTCTTGCCTTTCTCCTGGTTCCAATGCTTTGTGCCCCTGCTCCCTGAATTATTACCATACCCTCTCACATTATGATTATTTGTACACATATCTGTTTTCCTGCTTCAACGCTAAGCTCTTTGGAGGCATATCATATTTATTTATCTTTGCTTCCTATAGTTTAGGTTGCATAATATGAGAGGTTTTTATTTTTCAATTTAGGCATGGACTCCAAATGTCATTTTCTTAAAATTTGTGCCTTGCTTATTATTATATGTAACTGATATAACTTTCTTTGTTTGTTTTTTGAGACAGAGTCTCACTATGTAACAAAGGTTGGGCTCAAACTCCAGTGATGCCCCTGCCTCTACTTCCATGTGCTGAGATTACAGGCATGCATCACCATGCCCGCCAAGCTAGAAACAGTCATATTTTGGTAAAATCTTTGTAAACTTTTAAACTGTTATAAGGTAGTTTCAACAGTTTCAATTATTTTTTGTGAAAGTTTGACGAACTGGTAAATTCAAATACAACAAACATTTAAAAGACTTGGTGTATTTTGCTAAAATTGATTTCCAAAACAAGTTGCATTGGCTATAGTGGACAGAATCTCAACATAGCTGTAAGGAATGTGAGGCGAGGCAGAGAGCACTCAATAGGGTTTGTGAAAGCAGGCATACAGTTTAATATTGGGGTGCAGGCAGACAAGAGTGGGTAAAGGCCATCGATTAGGGAACAAGAGAAGCAACCTTTTTTATGGGGCCTGAAAGGGGTCAAGGGACATTAGGTGGGAAGATGTTAATAAGCATCTGTGGTCAAAGTTCTCTGGCCGTCTTGCACCTCAGTGGGCAGAGTCCTTGAGGTATCTGGTGTAAATGTCTGGTCCAGACCTGCAAGATTCCTTACCCTACCTTATCTCTTTTATGACATCCTGTGTTAGCTGATGAGCCCCCGCTGAGAACAGTGCCTCTGCTGGCAAACAGGTTGAGTGCTGGAAGGGTCATGTCCGCTTCAAGCCTTACAGTAGCCTCCCAAGGTTTCCCATCCTGAATAAACCCATGACTGAATATGATACAGTGTCATAGCTAAAGAGAGGTTACCCAAGGGAGGCTGACCTTGTCATTCAAGGGCTTTGAAGTCGAAGAGTTCTCTCCAGCTGAAGGTAGAGGGGAAAGCTGAAAAATTCTGTGGATAGATTCCCTCCATACAGAGCTGATGGCTTTGAGGAGAAAGGGGCCATGCAGAGGATGAAAGAGCTGCCCCTGGGAGCTAAAAAGGACTGCTGGCTGCACCCAGACAAGAAATTGCAGAGATGAGAAACAGAAACTGCCCACCCCTGGATGCCATGGAAAGAAGTTCCTCTCTAGAGCCTCCAGATGAGAACACAGCCTGGCTGACCACGCTTGTCCTTGAAAGACCCTGGGCAGAGAACCCAGAGGAGCCCTCCTGGTCTTCTGACCTATAGAACCATGACACTGCAAATGAATGCTGCTCTAAACAACTGCTTTGTGGTCATCTGTTATGCAGCAAGGAAAAGTGAATACAATAGCTTATTGTATTACCAAGTACAGTCAACCCTCCATATCCACGGACTCTGCATTCGCAGAACCAACCAATTGCAGATTGAAAATATTCAGGAAAATAACCAACCATTGCTGTGCATGTCTGTAACCCAGCTACTCAGGAGACTGAGGCAGGAGGATCAAGTTGAAGGCCACCCAGGGTGACTTAGCAAAACCAACTCAAAATTAAAAAATCAAAAGGGTTGGGGTGTAGCTCAGTGGTAGAGCACCCTGGGTTCTACACTAGTACCACACAACCAAAGCAAAACAAATTTAGAAAGCAGAAAACAAAGAGATTCAGGAAAAAAATGAGTCTGTACTAAACATATACAGAATTTTTTCTTCTTGTTATTTCCTGAACAATAAATACTATATAATGACTATGTATATAGCTTTTACATTTTATAATTATTATAAGTAATGTAGGGGTAAAGCCTTCAAGACTATGTGTATAGGTTATATACATAGTTATGTTATTCATTTAAGAAGCTTCATGTAATTTTCCTCACAGGCTGGGGTGGGATTGGTTTTTCTCAATGTATAATTTTATTAAGAGTGACAGGTGTTCTTTATGATTATTATCTGAAAGGGTTTTGGCCCAGGCCGGACACTGTAGCCAGTAAAGCCAAGGAGCTCCTATCTCACCCCACCCTTAGGAATCTACCTCTGGCGCCAAAGAAAGACCAATGTGCTACCTGTGCATCCCTAATGCCCCCCTTAGGTTCCACCCCAAGCTGAGGCTACTTATTGTGCCTCATTCCACGTGTTCCATGGAGAGATCGCCGCCCCGGGGTGGAGATGCCTTGCCCCAGGGGATCGGAGGGGTCTCTCACCGCATTCTCAAACTAAAGGTCATATATATTTCATACTTCTTATCTTTTCAGCCGCCGTGGGTCCCCCACAGTTCTATCATTATCATTATTATTTTGTGACATTTAGGATTGAAGCTAGGATCTCAGGCCAGCTAGATAGCTAGACAAGTATTCTTCCATTAAGCTCCACTCTCAGGATTTTCATTTTATTTCAAGACAAGGTCTTGCTCCATTGGCCAGACCTAGCTGAGCCTGGTGGCACATGCCTTATAATTTCAGCACTCTAGAAGGCAGAGGCAAGAGGATCACAAGCTTGAGCCTAGACCGGGTGATTTCTTGAGACTGTGGTGTCAAAATAAAAAAGGATGGGGACATACTCAGCACAAATCCTTTGGATTCAATCCTTACTACTACAAAAAAAAAAAAAAACCCTAAAATGAAATTGCCCAGACTGACCTTAAACTCTCAGCTCTCTGGCCTCAGCCTCCGGGGTATCTGGGATTGCCATTGTGCGCTTCCTTGCCAGGCACAGGTAGAGTGACAGGTGTTCTTATCAGATGACCTAACAGCAACCCTGCCCTGCCCTGCCCTGCCCTGCCCTCTCTTGGATGATGGAGCAATTTTATCTCTGGTGCCAAAGCCCAGAACGTGTCATGACTGCTTAAGCCCAGCATGGTAACCTCATTGCCTTTTACCAGATGTTTTCTTTCCAGGTTTTCTTAGAGCTAAGTATGACCAGGGAAGCCTAGTTCTTGAGCAGACTTAGGGAAACATTTTCATCTCTGTAATCATTTGTTGGTATTGCATAGGTTCCAGGGTTGCAGAAATGAACAAAACAGACCCAATCTTTTTCTTCACTGTCATGACTCATTTTTTGTTTATTTGTTTATGTCTAAGAACAATGCAAGGCACACATCCGCAGCCAGAAAAGCAAAATTCCAGTTATACCCTCCATTATTGGTTTTGGGGTCCTCAGAGTGATTTATCTAATCATCACATCTTGATGTGTGGCGATCAAGTTAGATCTCAAGTCAGTGGGGGCGTGCACTACTAGGATTCTTGGATTTCTTTTGAAGCACAGTCTATTACCTCTTTGTATATGTCAGTCCCAGGAGAAGATTACTAATTTTAACTGATGGCAGGAGGTTGGGGTCCACGGTAGGGGTGCCTAATAACCAGCACCATGGAAAGGATCACTAATATCTGACCACTCAAGACATTTTGACTTAGTTTTGACCGACACTCGTGACCCTTTCTTCCTTTCTGTAAAGAGGGATCATACTGTCTCCCCTATACCATTTGTATTATAAGGGTTATAAGAGATCAGAGACACTGGCTTGGCCCACAGCTGTTCTTATCTACTCTTTCTTCTCAGCTAGATTCATAGTTCTGAGGGGCTTAAGATGAGTAGATGTAACTGGCCATTTTCTTGATGAGTTATTCTGACCATTATAAAAGTCAGGTCAAGACAGAGTTGAGATGCAGTGGTACAGCCCTGCCCAGCATGCATGAGGCTCTGGGCTCAATCTGATACCCTAGGGGGTGTCTGGGGACAGTGACTCAGGTGGATTCAGCCATTCCAGTGCCTTCCTGGAAGGTTGGAAGAGCTCTCTCTCTTTGACTGGGGACTGAACTCAGGGAGCGCTGAGCTACAACCCCAGTCCCCTCCCTGTTCTTCTTTTCAGACAGAGTCTTGCTGAATTTGCCAGGCTAGTTTTGAACTTGCAGTCTTTTTGCCTCCACCTTCCAAGCTGGTGAAACTTCAGCCCTCTACTTATCCAATTGAATCCAAGCACAGACCATCTTCCCATGATGCCATCCTCTACCTGCGCTAATTTACAGTTACTTGACTGTCTGTTCATTTTACTGGGGATTGAACCTAAAGCCTGCACACTGAGCTATATCCCCAGTCTTTTACTTTTAATTTTGGAACAAGGTCTTGGTAAATCCTAAATTACTCAGACTCAGCTGGACCTTGTGATCCTCCTGGCTCAGCTTTTTATTTGTTTTATTTTTTGGTACTGGAGATCGGACTCACAACCTCATGCTTATCAGGGAAGCACTTGAACCACTGAGCTACATCCCCAGCCCATGGCTCAGCCTTTTAAAATGCTGGCATTATAGTGTATGGCACTGTGCGTGACTGAAGTTATTTTATTTTAACTGACTGACCCCACTTTGTCTTCTTACCATTTACACACAGCATCAAAATAGGAATTTCCTGACTACAGAATATGGCCTCTAGCACTAGTTATTTTATAATAGAACTCTTGCCTTTTAAAAATTCAATCCTGTAAACATTTCTTGATTGCTCACCAACAACCAAGCACAGTGCTGTGTTCTGGGAAGGAGAAAAGAGTTACCACAAGGAGTCTTTCAGTGTACACAGATGTGAGTTCAAACAATGACATCACAAGGCAATGTGCAGAAAGTATACGCATAAGATATGTAGATAGCAGAGATGTCAGAAAGTGATTGGCCTTCTCCAAGAAGGCCTGGAAATCCTCACAAAGCAGATTATGAGGGATGTGATTTTAAAGGACATTAGGTCAGGAATTTTCCAGCAAGTATGAGAGAGAAAGAGAGAGAGAGAGAGAGAGAGAGAGAGAGAGAGAGAGAGAGACCATGCACTCAAGGATGTGTGATAAAAGGATGGTATCCCGAAGAACTTAGAAGCAATTCGTACTATTGTAGTATAATAGGGAAGCTGAGAAATGTGGAAGAGCCAGGCAGTTTAAGTGATAAACTGGGAGACACAGCAGAAGGGATAAAAAAGATGTTGTATTTTTATACAATGGAGTACTACTCAGCCATAAAGAAGGATGAACTAGAGACTTTTATAGGTAAATGGATGCAACTTGAGACCATACTCATTAGTGAAATAAGATGCACATGTGTAAACATTGCTCTCACTAGTGTGAAAAGCTGAAAGAAACACATACACATATATATAATAGTTAAGATAGTTATACTACTGATTACTCTGAGTCCATTGAAGAGAAAGATTTGTGCTGGTACTGTTCGGATAATTGAATGCAGATGTCTTGTTCTCTAGGTGAATGATTTGGGGATGACAATGTGCAATGTATGTATCACTGTTGTCCCCTGATGATGTGTTTCGAAATTTAGTTTTAGTTTTTTTCTTCTTTTTCTCCTTGATATGAAGTTAATTTTGAAAAATGATTTTGGTAGCAGAGTAGAGGAAAAATCTAGAGAAAAAGAGATTGAAGTTCAGCAGTAATTCAGGGGGAATATGAATGGTCCAGATGAGAGAGATGAGGCCTGATGGAGGCGCTGGAGCTGAAAGACCGTCTAGAGTGGTTTATAGCTCACAAGACGCAAGCTTGAGAAGACTCGCTTAGCTGCTGGATGAAGAGGCATCAGAAGGAGGAAAACAGACTCCTGCTTTTTATCTCCTTCTTGGCAAGGCATGGTTCTAAGCACACAGAAACTGCTCAGAAATAGTCCTCTAAGAAGCAAGTCGCTGGAGTATTGTCTGGTCTTTGATTTTATTTCCAATTTTAAAATTACATTCTACAAACTAGAATCTCCCAAGATTTTACACAACCTCTTGGTTCACTTCAAGTCTATGAGAACTCTTAGTGTTTCCAAATTATTTGCACTTCAAGTCTACAAGACTTCCCCTAATTAATTTACTAAATTATCTGCAAGCAGAAAACAGGAAGTGATTTTCCCCGTTAATGGATTAAGAACAGGTGGTCAACTTAACGCCAGCTGGATTACATCAGCATGGCATTGAGCGAAGATGCTCCACCTGAGGAAAGTTGCCAGGATAAATAGGTAGAGAAGAAGGGAGGTGTTGAGGGTTGAGGCGTTAATGTGTTGTTGCCTAGAGGCATTGTGAGTTCTCCTACGAGTTGCTGTTTGAACCGTTGGTTCTCCTGGAGAAGCTTTGGTCCTCACATTGAACATTGCTTCCTGACTCCGGAGGGAAAGACATGTGCTGCTTGGTCTCCAGGATGAACTCATCACACTGGCTTCCTGGCATGTACCGACTGTGCTTGCCCTCGGAGGAGCTCGGGGCCTCCGTGTCGCTGAGGATGGCTATGGTGCCTTTCAGGATAGCCCTGGTCCTTGTTGTGAGTGTGACTTCTCGGCTCCAGCATAGAACCCTCATTCCACTAGCACAGCTCCTTCATCCTGCTGGCATAGACTTTCTAGCTTCCATCACTGATCCTTCCCGGCATGGATCCGTAAAAGATACTGGAGTGAGTCCTTCTTGTGGGCTCTGGACCTCCAGTTGGGCTCGTGGGAGGCACTGTCCTGAGCTCTGGATTTTTATCTGACTCCTGTGGGACATTGCTGTGGGGTTTAGGCTCTTGACTAAATAATCTATGTCTTTGGTGTTGCGGATAGATTTCCTGCATTTTCCTGTGTTAACTCCCAGTGACCATTATAAAAATAATATTATAAACTCCATGTCTTGATCCTAATTGTTCTCTGGGTACAACCCCTGACTATAACACCCCCCAATCTCACATTTATGTAATGAGGATAGTTGTTAGCATAAAGAATAACGTGGCATGACCACAAACAAGAAAGGGAAGATGTCAAACTCATCGACACACAAGCTTGAGGCTTCTTTTTATTGCAGGTCACATAAAAAGTAACACAGTGTTCTTAGCATTTCAGGTCATTTCAACCTCATTCAACCTTTGACTGTGTGTCATAAACATAGATTTTCTTTTGGGAAAATGATTTCCAGGCTATAGGAAGAAATGCCACACTCAGTCTATCAGTTTTTACAATATCAAGGACAACGCAGTACAAACAAAATTACTTGTTTCTTAGACGGGTGGTATAACCACACAGCGAGAGATGAGGTGCCTCTCCCATGAGAGTGCTGGCTGCCTTATAAGCAGTTTTTACAAATACTTTTAAGAATGGAAAAGAAAACCATCAGGGCTTCAAATGGACTTTGAGCAGGTAATTTTGAATAATTAAAATCATGGAAGCATATCATTTGTATATGTGATATCTATGATCTCTGAAGAATTTTTAAAGCCACGGTCAGCAAACTGCACACTGTTGGTGATACCTGACCCTCCCTTGTTTTTGTTCTTATATTCGTAAATGCTCAGAAGTAAATCAAAAGAGGACTATATGATAATTATCGGAAATTCACATTTCACCATCTATAAATAAAGTTTGATTGGAACACAGCTTACCATTCATTTTATACTGGCTACTTTATCACGTGACCCCAGCAGAGTTGAAGGTAATAGAGATCCTTTAGCTCACAAAGCCTAAGGTATTTACAAAAAACCTACCAATGCTTTGCTGACCCTTTGTTGAAGAGCTTTCTGCTAAAGAAACACAAGACTTCCATAAACTGAAGGCTTCTTGGTCATGAAAGTTGGTGACATGTTGTGTTTGAATATGTGTGTGCGTGTGTGTGGTGTGTGTGTGTGTGTGTGTGTGTGTGTGTATTTCACAAAGATTGTTCAGCTCCTAGGAGGATACTGATATCACAGAATAGAGTAAGACACATGCTTTTACTCTATTTAGGGTATTTATTTTCCCATCTTGTGTCAGTGGAGCATAGTTATTAAGAACATGTGTTTTAACTTCTTATCCTTTGCATCTTGATTAGCTTTCTGTGACCTTAAGCTAGTGTCTTATTCTCTTGTAAGCCTTAGGCTTCTCACAGAAATGAGTAACAATGATACCAACATGTCAGACTTCTGGTATTGAGTGGGTAAATGATGTGACTGTTTTTAGAGGAATGTAGTAGGTATATAATATATTTTGCCATGAGCACCACCACCATCTGAAAACATGAGCTTCACTTTGTGGTAGTCCACTCCTAGAAATACTTTTAACCTCTTCTTTGACGAGGAAATCTGTAAGATTCTGCTTACCTATGTTCCCGCAGCCAGGGCGCTCCCGCTGCCTCACTGTCTGCTGGAAAACCATTTCCAGCTGCATGGCTCTAAGAGCACACTTACCAGAAGAGCAGGAAGACAACTCGGTGTTGGAAGGTTGTTCAGCCATGGATTATGGTTTCCGAGCAGCACACTGGGGTTTATTTTAATTTTTTAGGTTACCCACTAGTCTCAATGTTTTCTATGGAAAATCCACACTTCTGTGACCGGGATGGAAGAAAGCTCTGCTGACTCAGCAGTGATTTTTTTTTTTTTTTTAAAGGGTGGCTGAGTTTGCCATTTTATCCTATTTTATGTGAGTTTCACATTGCCATTTTTTTTTTTTTAATTTCCTACCAGAAAAAGCTCTTAGAAAATCACAAGGGGGAGATGCTGGGCAACACTGTCCTTTCCTCACACTGGGCTTGCGGGCCTGAGCTTGCGTGCCTTCGGTATTGTTGGACTCCAGGGTCCCAGGGAGGACCCAAGGCCTCGTGAGCTCATGGGACCTCCGCTACAATCCTGCTTCTCTTTACTTCTCTCCTCTAACTGACCCCAGAGCCGGCTGAGCAGGGATGTCCTCTGCTCTCTGCGGAGCTCTGCTAAAGAGGATGAGAACCCTCTTTTCTTGGTCTTCACAAACACATAGCCTGCACAAAGCTCAAGGGAAGAGGAACAGCCTCCTGCACCAACACTCTTGTACCCCTGCCCCCCACAATCAGTTAAAGAAATATCAGAATTCTGGAAAGCAGCACTTGTCTCCACAATGCACCCCGGAAACAGAATTTCTATAAGTCCCCCCCACCCCGCAGTATTGTTAATCACATCACAGTTTTTACAAATCACACTTATTTTGCTTCTTGCATTTTGTGGTCTTGACACTCTGTTTCGAGGGAAATGCCTTCATGTTTTGTCTTGACCCTCAATTATGATTGAAGAGGAATTGTTAATGCAGTGTAGCCACTCAAAAGAAGCACAAAATATTTCAGAATTCTTACACATTCTCATTGAACTCATAGTGAAGAAGACGGCAGGCACACAGAAGCCCGGCGGGGGATAAAACCGACCCATCAGGGCTCTGGGCGGCGGTCCAGTTACCGGTAGGCATAACTCTCGTCGTCGTACTCCAGCTCCACCTCGTCATCGTCCAGCAGCCCGTATTTGAACTTCCGGTAGACAGTGCCATCCTGGCCCATGTAGACAATGTCATCGTCATCGTCCTCGTCGTAGTCCCTGTCCCTGTACTCAATTATCTGGTCCTCTTCAAAGCTGCTGGCCTCACGATCGCTGCTCTTGTGGGAATAAGACCTCGCAGGGTCCGCCAGTTTTTCATAGCGGGCCCTTAGCACGGGCTGGGTGCGGCCCCGAGACTTCCTCCAGACAGCCACAGCCGCCCCCAGCAGAAGCACCAGCGCCAGCGAGGAGGTGACCAGCAGGGCCGTCTTGGCGCGCTCCGAGGCAGGCCAGGTGCGAAGGAGGCACTCCTCTATGGGAAGGTGGTCCGGAGGCAGAGGGGAGAGGGAAAGGTGGGAGACAAGAAACAATTGGGAAAATTGATTCCTGAGGTACAGAACGTGATGCTTACTTTTGAGATCTGAAATGGTGGAATCACTACCCATGGTTTGCTTATGGGCCCACTTTACAAAACTGCCTATGTCACCCAGGAGTCCAGCCTTTATCTCCAGACCACCACAACCACCACCATTCGCTCTAGAAAGGTCATTCTGAGAGCCAAAGTCTCCAAATGTCTAACCCTAATCTATTCTTCTATTTCCCTCCTGAGAAAATATTTCATCTTTGCACTGCTGAGAGCTAAGCATAGTTTTTATATTCTTAAGTGCTTAGAAAAAAAAATAAAAAAAAGACAAAGTTATAATGATTAGAAATTCAAATTTCACCACCTAGATACAGGTTTATTGCTTGGATTTACCTATTGCTAAGGACGGCTGATTTCCTAAGACTCAGTCCTCTCCCTCCCCAGCTACACACATGCCTAGTCCACCATGTCGGTCCCCATCTGTGGGCACAAAAGTGTAAAACTATTGAGTCTTAAAGCCACAAAGGGCCTAGAAATTACTTAGGTCACCTTGTTGTGACAGTTGAGGAAACCAAGGCCCATGGAGAGGAAGTAGATTGCAAGCTTGTGAAAGGCAGGACCACCTTGGTGGCATGATGAGTTCCAGGCTATTAATCTTAACTCTATGCAGCCTTCTCCAGAGATGAAGGAGAAAAGGGTCTGACACCTGTGTTCTGGTCTCTCGGAATTCTGTGGCCATCAGCCGGCAGGAAAAGAATTGTGGCACCTTTAAATGCTGCGGACCAACTTGAATGACAGGTGATTTCTCCTATCACAAGGAAGCTTCTCAAAGTCAAGAGTTCTACCCCTTCCTACCCACAAGTCCCTTTCCATTCCTTGACCGACTGAGTGGGGTAATCACAGCAGTGCCACCAGCAAAGGACTACAGTGTAACTTTAGCAATAGGCTCCTTTTTCTTATTTTGTTCTCATTCAGATGGTACAAATTATTTACCTAATTTGCTTTCATTTTCCTTAATTCAGCTTTTAGGACTGTGAAAGTTTTAGGACTGTGAAACAGTATAAAAAGCTACATTTAAAAACATCTTTCAGGCCAGGTTGGATATACAAGTTTGGGTACGTGGCAGGTTCTCTGGAGAGTTTTGAGCCACTGACCCATCCCCGGGGTTATTTTAGGAGAAATTCTAGTATATTCACTGACGACCCAGCTTAATGGAGCCACTCTGCCACCAGGGGCAAAGACGTTTTGCTTATTAGATCTGATTGGTTAGACCTGATTCATCACTAACATCTTTTGCTGCTGTTTGGATTTGACCATTGTGTAGACTTTTCTCCTTTAAAATAACAGCATTGTTATTGTTACATTCATCATTACCAGTATTAGCACAGAATCTTCCCCCTGGAGGAAATTAAAACACTGAAGGAATAGATAATTGACTTCTGTGTGGTACCCTAGGAGTAAATACTGCCTGAAGGAAGAGAATCGACCCTAACTCTAACCCTAACTCTAACCCTAACCTTCTGGGGTGGCTTCATTTAGTCGGATCCATATGCAGTGATGTCTCACTCTCTGTGCTGTCTTTCGCTGCAAGCAGGTCAGCCTGTGTGATCTGGTGTCTTTGAAGAGGCAGACTGTCTCAGTGATGAAGGAGCAGGTAAGCAAGATGTTTGTTCTTTTCATGTTTGCCTTGTGCATGTCAGGCAAACACCCTAGAGACTGAGTTATAACCCAGCCCACGAGTCTGTGGAGTTGTTCAGAGTTGCCCCAAGTGCCTTTGTAAGAGCCCCCCCAAAACCAGGAAACTCTAAACAGCTCTTCCTTGGAACAAACTTTCAGAAACTCTGTCCCCAAATGCAGACCCTGCCGGTTTCATATAACAGCACTGATATAAGGAGGGTTGTTAGTCCTAGCAGGCGCAGAGCACATACCTACACTGGAGGCAGGTGTGTGTGGGAATGGGGAAAGCCGGTGCTTACAGGGGTGGCAAAGCTCGACAAGGATTTGCTTCTGGAAAGCTGCTATTAAGAACTTAATTGAAAAAGATGATGGAAAAATAAAAAATAGCCCTTTCCTAGTATGTATGAAACTCCAGGTTTGACCTCCAGTACTGCAAATAAATAAGAAAGAAATGACTGGTATAAGTTATGGATTTGGGATTTTCTTAAATTTTCAAATGGACAGACTCCCACCAATACCTGTTTTTTGGGGTCCACAGAATGTTACAGCCCCAAAGGAAAGATCTGTTACTGGGATAGACAGTATATTTGGGCAATATACGAGCCTAGTGAGGGGGTGCGCAATGCAGTCCCATCTATTCAGGAGGCTGAGGTTATCTGGAGTACAAGAATCTGAGACCAGCCTGGGCCACAGATAGACCCCCATCTCCGAAATAAAGAATATATGCTTCCTTCAAGTGAACTCACTCATTAAAGGTATTTCCAAGACTGCAACCAGTGAGAATCAAAACACACAGATGGATGGGGTTGGAGGTTGGAAGACAGTCGTGGACTGGGAATTGGTGAAAGGGGTTTTGTGTTTTAGCCTTCACTGAAAATATATTTTAAATGCTTTAGGTCTCTAATGGAAAGCCTAGATTTGGGCTAACTTCTATTGAGTGATTCTTCAACAGAATCAAGATAATGTTGCCATCAGCTTCTTTAGTAGCTAATTATTTTCTTTCTTTCTTTCTTTCTTTCTTTCTTTCTTTCTTTCTTTCTTTCTGGGAGGGTGGGATGGGGAGGGAAGAAAGTAAATATACGAAGGTCAAGTTCTTGGCTTACTTGACCACTGCTCTGGGAGCAGCACAGTGGTGGAAGGACGATGGGCTTTGATTCATACCCTAACTCCGGGTAGGTCGTCTGTTCATAGTGTTTGGACTGAGTGTGTGTATCAGCCCTTTTGAGTCTTAGTCTCCGCATCTGTAAAATGGGGTCTGTAATGTCCACTTATGAGCTGGGACAATGCATGTGAGGGTCCAGGTACTGAAAGCACACAGAAGGCCCCCGTGGAGAGGTAGCCTTGGGGTCTCCCTGAACTCTCCGCCCCTCCCACGGTACCCACATCTCCCTTTGCAGGGGCCTCCCCGCCCCTTACCTGTGCTTTCCTGGCAGTCACAGCACTCCTGGCCAGGGGTGGGGTGGGAGGCATTGCAGCACTGCAGGCAGCGGCTGTCTTCGGGGTACAGCAGCAGGGGAGCAGGGCACACAGTGCAGTTCTTGGGGCCGGGTCCCTTGCATTCCATGCAGCTCCCGTGGCATTTTTCACAGGTAAATTTCTCTCCCTGTGGAGAACAAAGAGGATCCTTTTGAGTGTGGAGGGATTAACTCCCAAGTCAGGATTCCAACTCATCTCCGTAAGGCAGAGGCCACATGGGGGACTGCATAAGGATGGTGTGTTCCAGGGCCATGCTCACCATGCCAGGTGAAGGAGCTGGCTGCCTGCTACTGGACAACCCGTGACTGGCCCAGCCCTTGAGACCTGCACTGTCAGGGACAGGCTTCCCGAATAAATAGTTAGGAAGTGACAGATCCTGTGCTCAGGGACAGCTCAGGATAGCAGTAGTTTTGTCTGGTTCACACTGTGTAGACTTCCATAGGCCTATACATTCTGCATTCATTTTCCGAATTTCAGAAGCATGCTGTTTCACATGTGATCAGTTCCTAGTTTCTCTGTAAAACCTGTCAACGCCAGAGTCCTTATTCCCACAGGGCAGTGTCACCAATAGAGATGAGTGGCATGCAGCCCTCTTGTTGTGCTCTTCCTATCTGATAGTTTCCAGCACTTCCTTTTACACCACCAAGACACGTGAGTTTCCACTGCCCATCAGGCTTACGCTGTGGCTTCCTCTGACCTAGCATCCTACAAGACCCAGAATGAGGTAAACGGTGACTCTCTTGCTAAAACAGTTAAATCTCACTGGAAAGAACGTCCAGAGGGGGGACAAAAAGTGGCTTTGCTCCTCCCAAGTTGCTACTTGCCTGATGCTAGACACCTGGTTAGGGAAGATAATGTCCTTTCCTACCTTTATTAACTTTGGAAGACTAGTAAAATAGAAAAGGGAAGAATGGCAGAGCTGGGGGTGGAGCTTAGCAGGATAGCACTTGCCTTGCATGTATTAGGCTCTGGGTTTGATTCCCTGAACTATGATCTATGAATTTTTAAAAAAGGAATGCAAATGACACTGCTGAGTATCTTGGCACATTACAGATGCTGCTGAAGTGCTTCGTCAGCTGTTCCTTAATCAGCTCTTCTCTGTTCAGTCCTAGTTTTGTTACTACTCAGGTGACCTTTAGCAAATTATCTAACCTCTACAAGCCTCAGATTCCCCAAGCTGTAACGAGAGCTGATGTCAGAATTTAAACTGAGCTTCTCTATGGATGGGCTCATTGTGTTCATTTCACGATGGAGAGACCTCCTCATTTGCTAAAGTTTGGAGACACAATTAAGAAATTAGTGGACTCAAAAGATTCCATGGCTTTTATGCAAACAGATGAGTTCTTAGTACAATTTGAAGACAAAGTGCAGGAAATGAGAGAGAAACGTGTGTGATTCCCACTTTATTCAGCTGTTTCTAGTTAGCAGAAGGTAAAACAGGAGACACTCTATACTCCTGAGATAACATTCTCATGCAGACTATAACCATGAAAACCTGAGAGGGTTCATTCTGAGGCTCCCTTCACTTGACTGCCCCATTATTTGTCTTAGGTCTTCTCAGTTCATGAAAGGGCAGCCCTATTGTTTCATGATGCAATAGAAGAAGATTCTAAAATGTTCTGTGTGAACACTTTTAAACAGTAGTGAGTGTTGGAACTTTAACATTTTCTGATTGTCTGAAATTACATTCAGAAATTGAGTTTGTGCTCCTTTCTAGAAGGTATGGAAGACACCCACCCCTGGCTCACAGTACCTCTCCCACTCGGTATTTCCCCACAAGACAGTCCAGGCTGCAAATTCCTCCCATGAGGTGGTAGTTCCACACACAGGACAAGCAGCGCAATGCTCCTTTTCCTGAAAGAAGAAAAAAAATCCAATTATGAGACCATCTTCAGGGTTCAGCCTTTCGCTTGGTTCTGGAACACTCAGGAGCAAAGAATACGCTGTAAAGCAGTCTCCATGGAGTTGCCTGTGAGGCCGCTGCTGCAGTAACCCTGCAACCACTGCCAGCACCCCTGAAACCACAGCTCAGTACCCCGCACTCTGAGTCAACAGGACCAGACACACTGGGAACTGAGTGCTGGGGAAGCTCACCACTGAGCCATGCCGTAAGTGTAAAGTGGACATTAAGTTTCAAAGATGGTTCCAGAAAAGAATGTAAAATAGCTCAGTAATGTTTATGTTGATTATATGTTTAAATAGTAATATGCTGTGTACATTAAATCTAATATGAAAATTATTACTAATTTTTATTTTTAAAAGTGATGACTAAAAACTCTAACATTACACATATAACTTGCATTTTATTTCCATTTCTATGGCACAGTGGTGATACATCCTTAAGTAACAATGGTACGAATGAAACTGGCTTGGGCTGTGTCTGTAATCCTAGCATGTGGGGGGCTGCGGCAGGAGAATCATGGCAAATTTGAGGCCAGTCTGGACTATGGAGGAAAACTGTGCCTCAAACAAAAACAAAAAGAGAGAGAAAGATAGCTATGTTTAGTGAAAATGTGATGTAAACAGAGCTCTGATAAACACTGACTTTCAGCATCAGGAAGAGGAAGGAAGAAAACCTATAGAACTAGGAGAAGCTAGGACCTGGGGACTTCACAGAGCGTCTGTCCTCAGGAAGGGAGGCAAAGTCAGTCAGTCAACCATGGGTTTAATGGTGCTGAGCCGGTGGGTAGTTCTAGGTGGCTCTTGTTCTAGAATACAGGGAAGAAGAGTTAGAACTGAACCTATGGCGACCGAATGGAGGATTTTAACCCCCTTTAAAAATGGAAAATATTTACTGGAAGTTCACGGAGAGCTGTAAATAAATCAATCATGCTCACTGATGTGATGGCTGGGCTCATAGAAGAGGCAGCACCATTGCGGGATGAAACACCATGCAATGCGAATCCATCACCAAAGGAAATCACCAAGTTCACTTTGAAAAGGAGAACTGGAATGCATCCCTCCAGCCATTGATATTCATCAAGAAATATAGTCACTGCAGTGTACACCCTAATCCTAGCTGCTCAGGAGGCTGAGGCAAGAGAATCAAAAACTCAAGGCTGGCCTGAGTAGCTTATAAGAACTTGCCTCATAAGAGAGAGAGAATGGGAGAGAGGCAGGGAGACAGGCTGGGAATGTAGGGCAGTTTAAAGTTCTAGGTTCAATCTCCAGTGTTTTCCCCATTTTGTGGTACTATAAGATGGAAACCAATGCCTCATGCATGCTAGGTGAGCTCTCTTCCTCTGAGCTATATTCCCAGCCCCCATATTTTTAAAATTTGTGACACAGTCTCATTAGAGTCTTGTCATGGTTACTTTTCTCCTGTTGCTGAGACAAAATACCCGATGCCCAAAATTAAGGGAGGAAAGGTTTATTTAGCTCACAGTTTGTGGAGGTTTCAGCCCACGATCTACTGGGTCCAAGGCAGAGTGGTAAGGCAGAAGGCAACAGTTCATGGTAGCAGGAAACAGCAAAAGCAACTAGAGCAAAAAGGAGAGTGAAAGACTCTTTCTGTCCCTTACATTGTATGCAGGCCACCCATCCTAGGGTAGGTGTAGCACTTGCGCTCATAATCTCAGCAGTGGACCATGAATCCCTCACAAGCCAGTCTGCCTGCTGACTGCATGAAACTCTAGGGGACATCTGGACACAAACCATAGCAAGAGTCTAAACTGGCCTCAAACTTGCAATCTCAGCTTCCTGAGTAGCTGGGATTATGGGGATGTGCCACTGTACTCGACAGAAGTACAGTACCCACTTCTTACATGTTGGGAATTCATTTCGTTCACCATCTTAAGGAAAGACACGGGAAATGAGCGAATGTGAGTTTTAGAAGATCTCTGGTATTAGTGTTCTGGGTGACCCAGTGTGTGCACATGGTGGAGTGAAGGGTTAGAAGGACCTGCTGGCTGCTTCAAAACCTGACAAGAGATGCTTGGAACAATGGAAAAGGATTGGGAGGATGGAGGGTACTTAGGGGAGAAGTCAACAGACCTCGAAGTTGTTGAGGGAGTGGGGTGGGCAGGAGGCAGGGGAAAGAGAAAAGCCAGGGACGATGTCGAAGTGTCACACTGGGCAATGGCTGGACGATGAGCTCACCAGCAGTAATTTTGGGGGACTCTGCGACAGACAAGCAGGCATCTGGAAAGTAGGAATGAATTTGGGTGCATTGAGGTAGATGTCGGAGGGAGTTTTTGAAGTTAAGGAAATAAATGGATTTCTCTAGGGAGATGTGGCAGGCAGGGTGGAGCTACAAGAGATTGCAAGAAGGCGTGGAAGCAGAGCAGAAAGGGAGCCCAACCACATTGCAGATTTCTGGGGCTGACGCTGGAGGACCTGAGGAGGAGGGACGGAAGGTCCAAGCAGGAAGGAAACCGTTCCATTCTCCATTCATATGTGCAAAAACACCCATCTCCTCTCACCTTCGCATTCCTTGCAGGTGGGATGGCATCTCTCACAGGTCCACAGGCTCTGCTCTGCGTAGTAGTGGTCTGGGCAGGTGCGGTGGCACTCTCCCTTGGAGCGGAGAAGAAAGAAATAGGGATCGCAGGACAGGCAGTCCGTGGGGTGTGGGCCCCGACAGGCCTTGCAGCTCCTGTCACACTTCTCACACCGTCCAGTGGAATTGTCTGCGTAATACCTGAAACCAGCAAGGCGAGGATGGGATGCAGTCATCCCTCAGTATCTTGGAGGACTGGCCCTGCTGACACCAAGGTGCATGGGTGCTCAAATCCTAGTGTACCAAGAGTCAGTATGTATCACTATGTATGTCCTCCCTCCTATTTCAAATCACCTCTAGATTACTTACAGAATCTAATGCCGTGTGAATGCTTCATAGTGCTGGTTGTACTATACTGTGTCAGCCATAATGACAAGAAAAAGTCTGTATGTGTTCCACACAGATGTGCTTTTCTGTACATTATTGTTATTGTAGAGAAGGTGCTGCTGTATGATCCATGTTGGCCTCAACTCATGACCCTCTTGCCTCAGCTCCCAAGTGCTGGGATTACAGGTGGGTGTAGGGGTACCGATATTTCTCATTGTTTTTAAGATTAGCCAGTCTTTTTCTGTTTTTGTTTTTTTGGTACTGGTCATCCAACTCATGACCTCAAGCTTGCCAGGCAGGTACTTGCACCACTGAGCTAAATCCCCGGCCCTGTTTCTCATTGTTTTTGATCCTTGGTCATATATAGAACCTCACTATGTGGAGAACTGGCTGTTCTAAGTGTTGCTTCTAAATTGGAGTGGAAAAGCATCATTAGTCAGGTGGGGTTCATTGACAAACTGGGTGGCCACAGCCTCTTTACTTGGATTTACTAATTTAATTCATTATTATGTTAATGAATCTAATGATAACTTTTATTATCTATAAATCAGGTATTATAATCCTCCCTTCTCTATTTGTAAGAATTACAATGCATGACACCTAGCAGGCTGGGTGCTATGACCCCAGCATTCAGCATGTCTATAACCTCAGCATTCAGGAGGCCCTCCCTTCCCTCCATTCACCTCCCCTTTCCTGCCCTCCCTTCCTCTTCTCCTCCCTTCCCCTTCCTTCATTTTCTTTCCTTCCTTTTAGGTTAGTGTTTAAAGGCTTGATAGGAAGAAGGTGCAGATGGGACCCAGGTCTTTCCAGACACTTGCTCGGTGAAGCAGAAGCACTAAGCCAGCTCAACCATCCCCACACTTGCTTTGCAGAGCCCTTTCTTCAGTGATCTGTACGGTGTTTTCAAGAGCAGCTAATGTGTGTGGCTCTGTTCTGCATACTATAATAGCATGTGTGACAAATAAGAGGTGTTTTACTTCCAGGAGCTTCTGATTTTCTTGGGAAGATATACAGGAATAAATTCTTGAGGGTCAAAATATTTGTCTTAACTTACCTTATTCAAACATACAAGGTGCTCTTAATCAAAACATGTATTCAGTGAACACACGAATGAATGTATGAATGAATGAATGAATGAAGTAAAAACACAAACCAGCTTCTGCACTATAATGAATGAGACAAGCCGAACTCGCTCTAGGACCTAGGGGAAGAGATGTGCCAATTGGGCTGAAAGCATTCATGGAAGGTTTAAGGTTACAGCCCTTTAATTTGGGTCTGGAAGCTCTCAGTGCCCTGGGTTACTGGTTGGGAAGGAGGAGTTAGAAACATGTTGATAATCAGTATTTCTTTCTGCTGCAATGTCCAGAGGGTAAAAAAGCAGTGACTCAAGTAAAATTCTCTTCAATATGCTGTAACCAGATATTCTGATAAACACAATACCATTTTTCCTAACAGAAAATGCTAAATGCTTCGGGATAGTCAGGTATGCTTAGGTTATTTATGAAAACTAAACCTATAGGTGGATTATGGAAAGTGTAACATGTTGGAGAATTGATGGAATATAAATGGAACTATTAACTGAAGTGCTTCCCTTTGTAAAATCAGTGTTCCGCGTGCATTGCTTAAGGTGACCTCGGGCTGACTGAATCTGAATTGAAGCAAATGCTAAAGCTGAGGGGAAAGGACCTCCAGGAGCAGTCTTGGGCTGCGCTGTGGGAGGGAGGCATTGCTTCTGCTTTGGAATTGCTGATTCTCTTTGAATTAGCAGGAAGGCTGGGCACTGACTGGGATCAGTGATTTGGGTGAGCGTGGTTTGCACCATTGACTGTGTTCTCTCACCGAGTCACTCTGCCTCTTGCATTTTACTTCCATTATTGTAAACGGCTTCATCTCTGTTCCTCCCTAGCAGTGAGGTTTTAATCTGATTACATTTGTGTCTGACTCTTAGTTCCCACATCTGCAAAGTGGGTTAGCATCCAGGGTGGCTGAAATACTTGATGCAAGAAACTGTGCTGAGTGTCTTACCCTTCCCTGCACTGGAGCAGGCACTCTCTGCCCAGCTGGAACCAGCCTGCTCGGCAGGAGAGGCACTGCATGCTGTGTGTCCCTTCGCAGGTCCTGCAAGAGCTGTGGCATGGGGTGCAGCGGTGTCTGTCCTCATCGGTGAAGTAGCCCTCTGGACAGCTGTCCACGCAGGTGGTGTCTGTGGAGTGGGGAGAAAAGCTGTATTAACACCAAGCTTAGAGGACTGCACGAGGAATGAGACGATGGGCCTGTGGCCTGATGGATATGCTGGGAGTGGAGATGACTGCCCAGGAAGTAAAATTGGCCATACAGCCATGAAGAGGGAGAGTGGACAGAAAGCACAGGTTGGTCATGGTGGAATGGACAGTGGTTCATCACCAGCTGATGTGTCTGTCTCATGTGGGGAAGGAAGGCCCAGCTGTGTACAAACATCTCTGCAGGTGTGTAATCTGGTGGCTTGAAATAGCACACATCTATTATTTTATTGTTGTGGAGACAGAGAATACAAAATGGGTCCACAAGGGTCTGTTCATGTTGGAGCCTTTGGGGAGAATCTAGCATTTTCCACCATCTAGAGAGTACCTGCCTGTGTGGGCCCTTCCTTCCTCTTCAAAGACAGTACCATCTCGCTCTCTCTCTCTCTGTCCCTCCCCTCTGTCATCACATCATCTTCTCTTACAAACTCTGATCAGACCCTTGTGATTATCTTGGGCCCATTGGGGTAATCCAGGATAATCTGCAGGAGATGACCTGAGTGACTCACCTTGAATGTAGAACATCTGCTTCAGCATTACATAAACTGAACCCTGAATCCATATGCTGATATATACAGAGCTGGTTATGTTATTTCCTTCTCCCTTTAATTGACTCTAACCAACGTAAATAAGGATAGCTAAGGTACTGATATGTAATCCTTGAAGCTAGCTGAGTTTCCTATTTCCTTGCACTGTGTTTTGTATAAACAGTTGAGCACAGCAGGATGGCAGAGCCATATAGCTCCAGGAATGTCACCTGGGTTGAGTTATAAGATAAGAGGCTATGACTTCCAGGGCACAAAAGTTTGCATATCAGAAACTAAAGCAACAGCCTCCTAAATCATTCTAATGCTACCTCACTCCAGTTATCTAGATGAGTTTCTTAAGCTTTCTCCCTGCATACTGCAGAGATGCTTACTCTCCACCTGGCCAGCTCAGCTCACATTGCTCACATAATTCCTGCCCATCTCACAGTCACTCATCCTTGAGCCACTCCCTTCTTCACAAGGAAATAAATTCTGGGTAAGGCTTAGATCAAGGCCTTTGTTCCATGTATTCTCACCTGGAGTGGACTCAGGACCCCTTGGCTGCCCATAATTTTGAGTATGTCTTAGTGTCTTTATTTTTGCTGTGAGTTACACTGGAGGTAGTAGATTAAAATTAACTCACCAGGACTCCAATAACCTTTCAATGGGATTACAAATATAAAATTTCTCAAGCTATGAGGAAGAAGGATTATAATATTTGGATTATGATATACAATATTTGGTTTATGATAAATCCCTCATGCCAAGATTCCTCATTAAATCTTAGCTGTAAGGCCCCTTTTACCATTCAAAGAAATATCCCTACAAGGCAGGGGAAGAAGTTAATCATCTTCATCATTATGCAGTCTATTACAAACTCCAACATGTTATTTTAAATAGCCTGACTGGTGATGTGTTCATGTGAAGGAGAGCATGAGAGGCCTAGGCCTGGGTAGATCCTACAGCCAGCGTTTAGGACACCTCTCTGTATGATACACCAGAGCCAAAGTTTTAGTTCTAGTTTAATTTGCATGTTTCCCTCTCTCTCCATTTACAGGAAACTCATAGTGAAGTAATTTTTTTCTCTCATTAAGAATGTAGTAGGAAATGACTCCTTACCCAATCATTATGCTTCAATTTTTGTTAGTTGTCCAGGTAATAGTTCCTGTTACTTCTGCTTCTTAGAAACAGTTGGTCAATGTGGTACATAGTTGGTCACTATGATACACATTGTAAGAACTAATCAAAGACAGTCAAGCACTCCAACTACTTCCCTTTTACAATCCCTTGAAAACCTCCCTTGAGCCTTCAGGGCCTGACATTTTTTCTTGTGGTCAGTGCCCATCAACACAAATAAATCTGCCTCCAAACCATGGGTGATGTTTTGGTGTTTCTGCTTGCCATGGCTTCTGGTGCACTGGCCAGGAAGACCAACTATGTTGACTTCTTTGATCGCTGGTCATGTGCCTAATGGACAGAGCAGGGAGTTCTCCAATCCTGACAGGAAGGTGTGTCCTCAAGATTTCTCAAGCCCCTTGGAGGTCTGCAGGAAGATTCCTGGCTCCTTGTTTGAGCAGCTTACATCAGACTCAAAAGGGAGGAGGATGTAGTCTGCCTGCCTGCTTGCCACATTCCAGTAAGATCCCTGAGGAAACCCGAGTTAGTCTGTCTGTCAGTCCTGTTCAGTTCGAGCAGAGGGAGAGCCTGATCAACTCTCATTAGTCAGGGCCACTCTCAAGGGAAGGGGGGCATCTGAATGGTTTTTGTTCTCTCTCTCCTTTTCTCTCTCTCTCTCTCTCTCTCTAAAGGACACCCATTGTTTGTCTGTTGCACCATCATTCAAGGATACTCAATGCATGTAGGAAGCCAGAAATGAGAACTAATTATTCAAAACCCAAAATCCTTGACTGAAGGCTGAAAAAAAATTTAAAAAGGGCTTCTCTGGTGATTATAGAGTTAAAATAAAATCAAACTGCTTCTCTCCAAGCCTGAACAAAACCCGAGAATCCCATGTTGGCAGAGACCACTGTAGCTCTCCATTCAGCAAAAAGAAATGAAGAAAGCCAGCCAAGTGCTTCTCAAAGGTATCAGAGAGGGGGGCAAAATATAAAAATTTGTTAATGTTACTAAGAGCCTGATAAGGCCCTTACCAATATATGAGTAACAAAGGTATGGACACTACAAAATAAAGGCCTCTTCAGATTAAAAAATAAGATTTTCAAAGTTTCAACCTGGATCAGATAACAACTTTTCATTGGTCTGATGGGCTCAAACTTGGCCAGACCAGGCTTCCTTCTTCCTGGTAGAAAATGGAACAGAACTCTCTGCCTTGAAAAGCCCCCTCTTAGCACAAAAAAGGTTACCATCTCTCGAGCAACTGGGACTCTTGCCTCCTGCCACTTCTACATGAATTTGCAGCCTGGAAAGACATCTCACCAAACATGAATTACCTTACACCACTTCTGAGGAGAGACCTCCTCTTCAGGGTAAAGGGACCACATCAGTCAGTGTCCTCTTGTTTAAGCCTACATCAGTCCGAGACAGATAGCTGCAATCTTGAAATTTTGAAAATTCTTCTCCCAGAAGTATGTGCTGAAGACTTGTCTCTGGGCCTGGCCATTAACCACACTCCCATATCTATGTCACAGGAAGCACAAACAGGCATCCAGCCACACATCAGCCACTTAAAGCAGTTCAGGATCTGGATAGACTTGTCAATCACCTTGGAACATTCCTCTTTCCCAGCAAAACTGCCCAAGGGGATTACCGGCCAATGCAAGATCTCCATGCCATCAACAATGCAGCCATCACCTGGCACTCTGCAGTTCCCAACCCATACACCCTTCTTGGACTGTTACCTCTGGATGCCACCTGCTTTACAGGTCTAGGTTTAAAAGAAGATTCTGAGACAAGATGAAGGACAAATCACTTGGACTCAGTTGCTACAAGGGTTTGAGAACTCTCCCACTATTTTCCAGGAGGCTCTGACAAGAGATTTGGCCACTCTGAGACAGCCCATTTCTCTGCCCTTTCCAGCTTGCCATCATGGTCCCTAAAGAATGGACCTGGACCTAAAGAATGATGCTTCTACCTTTGGTTGGCTCCTGCCAACCATCCCCCCTTCACTTTTAAATGAAAAGACTCCAGTCCTGAACTCAAAGGTTAACTGACCTGGACTCACCCTTCCAGAGGTTGAAAAACTTGTTTACTTTGCTAGTTTCCCAGCACAAAGTGTCACTGCATTTCTGATTAATGACACTCAAGCTGCTTGCTAGAAAGACAAAGAAGCTCTGCTGCAATATCTGGCAGAAACTGGCTACAAGGTGTCTTGGGGAAAGGCACAAATCTGACTACAAAAAAGAAAAGGCCGAACCCTTGGGGATTCCAGATGTAACTGGAATTTGGCTAATTTGTTGATAAATGATGACATGTAGCTTCAAAGATGCTTATTCAAACTGTCAGTCCCTGGGGCACCAAGTGGCCTATCTGTGCAAATACGTGGATCTAGTCTCTAAGGACTGCCTCCCGCTTTGCCTCTGCACTCTAACAGCCATTGTCCTTCTGATAAAATCTGACAAACTCATCTTAGGGCAAGACCTGACTGTCCAGGTGCTACATACTGCCCTGGACCTCTTGGATAATTGTGGACCCTCAATCTTGCCATGTACTTGCTCACCAAGTTGGCCCTCCAGACAGTGACTCCCTGACACTGACTGATCAACCGTTCTCGAACCAACCAGACTTAAAAAGCTTGACAGATGCTGTCATGGTTTATGTCTGTGGCCCCCAGGCCTCATGAGTTTGCATTGTGTATTTGTGATAGTTCATTGTCTAGTGCTTGGATTGATGGTGTCAGTGCTCCACCCACATAGGGGTGGAGCCAGGATGTGATGTAATGTCAGGAAGAAGGTGTGTCTTGCTCTTTGCTGGTTCCTGCTTGCTGTTTGCAGCCACCATGAACTGCGGCCCAGCCATGCCCACCTGCCTTGGAGCCAACTAAGTGTGGACTAAAACCTCCAAAAACTGTAAGAAATAAACCTTTACTTTCCCAACTTGGGCTTCAGGTATTTTGTCTCAGCAATGAGTAAAAAATAACTAAGACAGAATTTGGTACTGGGAGTGGGGCCGTTTGCTGTGACTATACCTGACCATGTTTTTTGAGAGGCTTTGGAAATGGCTTGTGGGCAGAGTTTGAAACGGTTCGGACATATTGCCTTGTATGCATAGAGCTGGAGCAGCTTAGGCTGTTCTGTAGAGGAGATTTTGGTCAGAGCTCAAGAGACCAAAAGGCTGATAGAAAGCCTCATGGTAAAGACCAGGTTGGGAGGTTTCTGCTAGGAAAAAGGACTACATTGGTTGTTGGACTCCCCATGATTTGTGTTATGGCTTGGCAGAAA